TTATTTATTTATTTAAAAAAAGACTTTATTTGTTTGAGAGAGAGAGCAGGAATGGGGAGGAGAGGGAGAATCAGACTCCCCACTGAGCAGGGAGCCTGATGCAGGGCTCCATCCCAGGACCCTGGGATGATGACCCGAGCTGAAGGCAGACGCTTAATCAACTGAGCCCCCCAGGCGCCCCAGGCTTTTCCATTTAATTGGACCTGCTTAGTCTCCTTCAAAGGCACTAGGGGTTAAAAATATTCTTTTCCTTATTCATACAGATGAGACCTTTCTACACATAATGTTTTGCAACCTGCTTTCTGTCTTAGCAATACATAATGAGCACCCTTTTATGTCAACAAATATTCTTCTCAACAGCAACTCTAATGGCTGTAGAGCATTTTATCCTATGGACCTGTCATGATTTACTAATCTAAACCTCATATATTGAACCCATCAGTTACTTTGATGTTCACTCTCCTAATACTACAGAGACCCCAGAGTTCATGGCCACTGAGGGCTATCCTGGTAGGATCACAGGTGACAGACAAGGATGCAGCTAACTATTCTGGTCTGTTTATTGAGCAAATTCATTCATCCCTTCCCGCCTAATTGTAACTGTCATTTTAACCACGTACTAAATAATTAGGTATATGTCTGTTTCTGTGTCTGGGGTTTCTCACTTCTTCTCACTTCCATCGGGCTGTTCTTGTGTCGGAACTGAAATGTTTGCTTTATGAAGTTTGAACTGGGCAGTACAGAGTTCAGTACTCCTCAGGGTTTTCTAGGCTGTTCTCATCTTTCTCGAGCTCGGGCATCATTTTATTAAGCTTCTCCCCCACTTCTCAATTAATTTTCAGGTTTGGCCTGAAATTATATTAAACGTATACATTAATTTGATATTGTATTAGTTATACATTGCTGCATAACAAATTACCCTGAAAGTCTGATAGCTTAAAACAACACATGTATAGCTCATACCCTTTCTGAGGGTCAGGAATCTAGGAACGGTTTAGCTGGATGATTCTAGGGAGGTCACAGTGCAACTGCTGACCCAGGGCTGTGGCCTCACCTGACCAGATCTCTGTTCGCCTCACTGGCATGAGATGTCAGTTCCTTGCCACGGGGGCTCACATGGCTTCCCCAAAGTCGTGAGAGAAAGAGAAACTCAAAGGGAAAGCAGAATGCCTTTTAATTAATTAATTAATTAATCAATGTATTTTTAAAAAAGATTTTATTTATTTACTTGACAGAGAGAGACACAGCAAGAGAGGGAACACGAGCAGAGGAAGTGGGAGAGGGAGAAGCAGGCTTCCCACCGAGCAGAGAGCCGGATGCAGGGCTCGATCCCAGAACCCTGAGATCATGATCCGACCCAAAGGCAGACACTTAACGACTGAGCCACCCAGGCGACCCCAGAATGCCTATTATGTTCTAACTGCAAAAGTGACAGATCACCACCTAGCATTTTCTATTGATGGCACAGAGCAACACTGACACACCGGGGGCGGGGGGGTGACACAAATACAGGAAGTGGGGAATCACGGGGAGCCATGTTGGACACCAATGAACACAGATGGATTAGACATTTTCTGGCATTAGATCTTTCTGATTGTGAATGTGCTATGTTCCTACGCTGCCTGAAATCCCAGGCAGGCTCACAGTGTGAGTTTTACTTTTCTTCATACAGGCCCCCACGTGGTTTGCCAAATAGATTCCCAGTATTTTGTATCTGGTTCTTACTGTGAATGGGACCTTTTTCACATATTTTCTATATCGTTGTTGTACTCATTAGGGACACTATTGGTTTTCATGGCCATGATCTTTCAGTGCATCTTAACTGGTGACAAGGCAGAAACAACTCTAAACTTTCACTGAGCCCTTGGACTGCAAAACTGAGACCAGGGGAGATCCTAGGTGCGCTCTTGGAAGTTGCCCATCCTGACACGGTGGCTGCACCGAGGCTTTCCCGAGGCCAAGATGATGTGGTTCTCTGGCCAACACCTGACGCAGCATGCTTCAGTCGTATGTATTCTACATCTTACTGTATAAAACGATGCAGAGATGCCTATAGTGGTCTCCCTTCCCCTTCTGAGAAGAAAGCAAGGAGTCATGTGTCTTCTGTGTTTGTCCTTTGTCTATACCAAAGTAATCACAGACAAATTCAAATAATGGCTTACACGGTGCGCAGTGTTCTGTGGGTCACCTTTACGTTTATCTTTTCCTTTTATCTGCTGTGAATTTCTTCCCTTGCCAAAGCAGACAGTTCTGCCCATCCTTTGTGACTGGTGTAGACTCGGTATTGAGCAGCACTCCCAGCCCACAGGGGGGACATCCAGCGGTCTCCAGTCCCAGAACCTCTGGGGGGACACGTATTCCCGCCTCAGAAGCAGCTGCATTAGCATGCAGAATTAAACAAATCACAAGGCCAGTGACAAAGGAAAACAAAACAAGGGCAGCTGAAAAGCGGCAGACAACCATCTACAGACCCAGGGACCCCCTTGCCTTTTTTTTTTTTTTTTAAGATTTAATTTATTGATTTGACAGACAGAGATCACAAGTAGGCAGAGAGAGAGGAAGCAGGCTCCCCGCTGAGCAGAGAGCCTGATGTGCGGCTTGATCCCAGAACCCTGGGATCATGACCTGAGCCGAAGGCAGAGGCTTAACCCTCTGAGCCACCCAGGTGCCCCTCCCCTTGTTTTTTTGTCGCCAGTACCCCTTTCGTCTGCGGGGCTTCTGCCCCTGGGGTCGCAGCCACTGAGGGCCACTGTGGGCCACTGTGTCCCCGCCGCACGGCGCCTGGGGTGGGAGAGGAGTGATCCCCTCTTCCATCCCAGCCCAGCGCCTCCTCTTCTAGCCTGGTCCCCTGGGCTCCTGGCAGGCGGGCTCCCGGGCTCCTCGAGGTGCGTACACCCGCCGCCAGGGGGCGACCTAGGCCGGGCCGAGCTGCCTCCTGGCGGGCGGAGGTGGCGCCCAGCCGGCAGAGGGGCTCCCACCCTCGCCGGGAGAGCCCGCCTTTCCGAAAAACGGACCCGGTGGCGCCCCGGCTGCGCTCGGCCTCCCGCGCACCGACCTGGAATTGCCCGGGAGCACCGTGCCGTCTGCGGCACGAAACGGGGCGCTATCGGGGCTCGTTCCTTCCGGCCGCCACCCACCCTCTCCCGGCAGAGTGGCCACCGCAAGGGTGTCATCGGCACCACCCCGCCAGAGGCGCACTTGCAGCCTGCGGGTTCCTGCTGTCCGTACTCTCGGGCCTTTCTCCCGCAGGCGTCTCTCCCATCCCCCTTCCCGCCCAAAGAAAGAAGGAGGCTGGCAGCAGGACACTGGGCTCCCTTCGTGCCCCCGTTGCCCTTGTCTCTGCTCTGGACTCCGTTCTCCCAGCCAGCCACAGTTCGGGCGCGGAGAGCTGTGCCCGAGGCAAGAGAAGGCCTGGCTGTAAGAAACAGGGAACCGGCACACACGTTGGGGTGGGGGATCGCCAGAATGTCTGAGTTGGGAGGACAGAGGAGAGGGTGGAGTGGGGAGTCCAGGGTCACCGCTCCGGTGGCCTGAGCCTCTGCTTGGAGGCCGCAAGGTCTCAGTCACACTGCAGCAAGCCCGCTAGACCTGGGGGAGCGGCAGCTTGGCCCTCCACACTTGTTTTTGATCATCATCCCAACAGCTTCATTATTCTGTCCTGTGCTAACCTAGCAGCAGGAGAAGAGGCCCCAATGACACCCACGGTGGGTCACCCTCAGAAGCCTGATCCACCTCACGGGGAGGGAAGGGACACGAAGATCACCAATCCTACCAGCCCGCAGTGGGAGACCCCTTTTGGCTGTTTTCTCCTGTTCAGACCACATCTTTACCCCATCAAAAGATTCACAGTTGCCAGTGGAGGTCAAATTTGAAAGCTGGGTAGGGTCCCAAGACGGCAGCTTAGGGACTGGGTAGCCGTAGGCAGGTTACTTACCTTCTGGAGCCCAGTTGCCCTGTCGGCATGCAGGGGCAGCTGTGAGTAGTTGTGAGCACCTCTTAGACCCGGTCCTACCTATCTGAAAGCAACATCCCACTGTGTCCCAGCTGCTTCCGACTCAGGGTGCAGAAACCCCGTATCATTCTGTTTGGTGATCTCCAGACACCTGTAATCAACAACCAAAAGATTCACAGCAACAACGAACACTGAGCCCTGGAGGGTTAATCTGTCAGAACGGGCTTGGCTTTAGGAGCTCCGGATAGGCAAAGGAGAGAGGACGTCGATCGCCTTTCTGTCCTTGAACTCTATCCATGGTAAAGCCCCTTGCTGGTCTCTACTGATTCTATTTTGTTTCCTTTCTGGGAGCTAACGGGGAGAGGGCAGAGTTTTAAAAGCATTACCTCAGGATGCCAAATGTCCTGGAAAAGAAGAAGGTTGACAAGGTGGCAGCAGGTAGAGGGAGAGGAGCCTAGAGATTCCTGGCTGGCTCCTCTGGCCTGTTTGAAGTTGGCTCAGAAGTCATGGAATGAGTGGGCAAAACTGCCTCCTCCTCCTCTTACCCGCAGAGGAGAGATCGGTTCCTGGCTGGCCCGGCCAGTGTCATCGATACGACTGGTGTCGTTGTTACCTTCCATTAACAGATCACTCGACACCTGTCGGCCCAAGCAGGGCCGGGTCTGCACACTGCCCTGCAGAGCTGGAAGCTTTGACCCTCCCCATTGTCCCTGAGCCCCAGGGGAGGCCCAGACACAGGTGCTGCTGGGATGTGGCAACTGGTGACCCGACAGAAGGACTAGATTGCTCCTGATGCCTGCCCCCCGCCCCTCGCCAGGGCCCAGCTGCCTCTTTGCTTCCTGCTGCCCGGCCCCTGTTGCTGTCCCGGGCAGAGGAGATGCGTTTGTCCCTGGCTGGGAGCAGAGGCAGCGTGACAATGCTACGCAGACAAGAGACACCCCGAGTGACCCTGCAGTGAGGAGCCGGGGGTGAGGAGGAGCCCGGGGTGTCCCCCCTGGCAGGGCTTCCCTGGCTGGCTGCCCCTCTGGTGGGCGCGCCCCCGGACATCATGCTGCAGCAGATCCTGCATGACATGTACATCGACCCCGAACTCCTTGCCGAGCTCAGTGACGTGCAGAAGCACATTCTTTTCTACAAAATGCGGGAGGAGCAGCTGAGGCGCTGGAGGGAGCGTGAGGCTTGGGAGGCCCTGGCCCAGGCAGAGGGCCTCAGGCCCCCGAAAGTCAAGCGAGGTATGTGGCTGGGAGTCACCAAGAGGTCAACCTTTGGCCTCCCAGGAGGTGGAAAATTGATTGCTGCCAAGCTTTCTTCTTCTCCTTCTCCTTCTTCTCCTTCTTCTTCTCCTCCTTCTTCTTCTCCTTCTTCTCCTTCTCCTTCTTTTTCTTCTTCTTCTTCTTCTTAAAATATTTTATTTATTTATTTGACAGAGACACAGTGAGAGATGGAACACAAGCAGGGGGAGTGGGAGAGGGAGAAGCAGGCTTCCCACCAAGCACGGAGCCCGAAGCAGGGCTTTCAGGGCTGAATCCCAGGGCCCCGGGACATGACCTGAGCCAAAGGCAGACACTTAACGACGGAGCCACCAAGCGTGAGTGTGATGAGAGCTGGGGACTCGAAATCCTTGTTCGTGTGAGGATCTGTCCCCACTAGCCCAGTCTCTAGGTTTCAACCAGGTCTGTGAGGCTCCGAGACTGCAGAGGGGGAGTCCTGATGGGGTGGGGGAATGGGGACTTGCTTGGTCTTGTTGTGGGAGGCCCAAATTCTGGGAAGACATTGTTGGGATCTCCAATTGGGCTCAGACACCAGTGATGATCACTTGGTGAGGGAGAGGGCATACTCTTGACCTTCTCCAGTGGTTCTAGGAGGGAGGACCAGCGTGCAATGAGGACATGCTTGTCCTTCCCTTGTGCATGCCAGCATAGTGGTTCTCAGCTAGGGCCCGCGCAAAGCACCCGGCCGCGCCTCACTATTTGCAGGTGAGAGGAAGCTTGGGGCTGTGCCTGGAGCTTCCTGGGGCATCTGGAGAGAGGGTGTCAGGGATTGTCCTACACTGAGAATGACCAGGCCTGAATGGCAGTAGCAGGTGCAGGGAAGAAACAAAGGCCTGACCTGCGTTTCTGATGGTTTTTATGCGGTCCTCTGCCCGCGGGCTGGTGCACTTGGGATAAAGATGATGTAGTCAGGACCTGGTGGAGGAGTCTGGGTTCTGCGAGGGACGGTACTTCCTGTGGCTGCTGCACTCGACAGTCCCCCCAACAACCCTCCTCTTGGCCTCCATATGATTGGGCAGAGTGAAGTGTAGACTTGATCTGTTTAGTTTTCAATCCAGGACAAAGTCCTAGATCTGGCCTGGGCATGCAGTCTCCTTGGTGACCTAGCTCCTCTCTCCACTCCAGGCTCCCCACTGGACCATCTTGGCCATGTGCCACAGACCACACTCACACCCATCGGGACATGCTGGCTAGACCTAGCCTCTCCCTTAGCACGAATGGTTCTTCCTATTGGGAATGTCCCCCTGCCTCCTCCTCCTGACAAATTCCCCAGGACTAGTCCCTGGCCCCTGGAGTCTCTGGGGGATGCCCTTGGTGCAAGGAAGAACTTGCTTCTTTGCAGGTGCTTGGCAGGCAGGCCCCCCACAGTCCCCCCCACTCCGCCCCACTATCATTTATCATCTGTTTGCCTGGCTCTCCCAGCGCTCTCAAAGCCACTGGAGCCTGAGACCATCCTGTCTTCCTGTCTTCCATCCTTTGGTCTAGCACAGAGCTGGCAGACAGTTGAATCTGTGTTTTGAATGAGACCTACAATAGGACCCCAAGCGGGAGGGCTCCAACTTAGTTGTGCGTGGCCGGTTTCCAGGCTGGGGCCTCCCGGGCTGGGCCGTGCTGGCGGCTGCTTCCCTAGCTGGTGGAAATGACCAGCTGCTTCTCCAGCCCCGCCCGGCCTCGGCCCTGGGGCCTCACACCGTCCGTATGGCAGCTCTTCTGGGAGGAAGACAGACGCCCAAAAATTTAACTGCAGAAACATTTTTATGGCAATTTGTCACACACTGACGTCTACATTTTCACGTGTAAATTATACATTAAATTCATTTGGGTTTCTTGTGCAGAAGACTCTTTTCCAGATAATTAATTTTCTGATTTATAAAGAATGGAAAAGAGGAGGAAACACAGTGAGAAATGTGTGTATTTCAGGTCAGGATTTTGTCCAGATCTCGGCTTTTGGCTTCAGTCCTGCCCATGGAAGTAACTGGGGGACCGTGGAGAAGCCTGGGGGGCTTGCTTGGCAGAGCTCTTGCTGTGGGGTCTGGGATGCACCGTGTGTTGTGCCCCTGTTCCCGATGGGGAAGCCGTGGCCCACAAAGTGACTCGATCCACCTAAAGTCACCTGAATGCTAAAAAGTGGAGAAGGGAAGCACATCCCGTGACTTTGACCTTGAGTCTGGTGACTGACGGTTTTCCATGCATTTGCTTCCGAACTCAGGCTTTGATTCCACAAATGATCTGTGCATGCATTCACTTGTTCATTCCTTCATTTATTCCTTCCCTTGTGCAGCATTGCTAAGTACTGACTTTGGTGAAAGGGACAGGGCTGTGACCATTGAGACTGTAGGACACAGCCGACTGGAATGTTGGGAGCAGGGCTTGGCACACAGCCACTGCATGGTGGCTCAGGGCAGGAGTAAGTGGGGACATGCCCTACTGGCTGGATCCTCCCTCTTCCTTGCCCTCACCGTCCCCATCCCATTCCCGGTATGTCTGGGAGGAAGCATCTGCTGTGCTTTGCCGAGGTGTGTGCCTGCCCCTTGGGATCCCCGAGCACACCTTACTCAGTCCTGGTTGAGTCTGGAATGATACTTTGCCTCCTCGTGCCCATTGCCCCAGTCCTGTCTTGTCCCCTAAATCCTCCTTCCCACTGTCTCTTTTCTAAGGACATTTCCCAACTCCTAGCAGACCTGACCTTGCTGTCCCAGGGGCCCCAGAGGGCAGGGCAGGGCAAGGTGTGTCCCGTCTTTGAGAACTTTCCTGCTATCCAGTCGTTCCTGGAGAGGATAGTAGTAAACACTGGTGATACAGATCATTCTGGTTTACAGCAACTCGAGGGCTTTTTGGATCCTTAAACACACCCTTGGGGTCCATGCAGAAATGGGCTGGGGTAAAGATGACAGTCATGGCTGGGCACACATCACTCCCCTGACCATGCAGGCATGTCTTTTCTTGTTTGCACCTTATACTTTGGTGAGAATCTTCTGATGTTCTACCCTGCCGTGGAGAATACAGACCCTCAGCTTTGATTTCCCATCTACCATCATGCTTGCTGTGTTGTCCCATGTCTGACAAGATTCGATGTCTGACAGGAATTAGTGCTGTTATGCTGAGGCTCTGGGAAGGCATGCTCTAACACTGTGTTCCTGTTAGATCGAAGCCAAGCTCCTCCAACATGACCATGACCTTCACACTCTCTTCCCCTATTAAGAGCCCTTTCTCCACAAAAACCCATGCCACACGTCAGGAGTTGTAGAACCTCACAACCTTTGGCCCTTCTGTGCTTGCTCAGTCATCCCTGTTTCTTGAGTGTGGACCTAGGTGTTGTCTGGGACGAGGACTCGGTAGACGTGTTCCCATGGCCGCCAGACCCAGGGAGCTTCCCCACTCGGACCCATCTGTTCTGCCATGACCCGCCGTTTCTGTCAGTGTTAAAGTGATTCCTCCATGACCACCTCTGTACCCATCTGCAGGTGCTTTCCCTGGGAGCCGCACGTCTTTCCCCACCCTCCTTCGTGGCTGACGCCAGTGAACCGAGCCCGCACCCTCACAGGGTGCCTCCTCTCACCCACACGGCCAGTTCTGGGCCTGCGTCTTCCTGTGTTGGCTCGCTGGCCTGCCCCTTACTCCGGCCTGGGGAGTGTTCTAAGTCCCGCGGGCTCGGGCCCTCTCCACCTCCATCCCCTACATCTGCCTTCTTTCTGTTCCCTGCGAGTCAGTCAGTAACCATAGCAACCTTGCCTGCTGGGCCAGGGGCCCTCCTAGCCTCCGTGTCCTCCTCCCTCCCTCCATGCCGAGAACCCTGTAGTGCCTGCACGTGTTCCTAGTGCGGCCAAGTCCCCTTGCTTCAGGCTCGCTCGCTCGCTCACTGCAACCCCAGGAAACTTTGTAACACACTGATCAGCTCGTTCAACTCTCTGCCTCAGTGGCTTCCATTGTATTCTGAGGAAACAGGACCCTTCCGGTTGTCCAGCTGGCCGTGTCCCCTCTCCAGCCTACACTCCATCCGTTTGTGTCCCTCTGTGGGGAATGCACTCTCCCCAAATCCTCACGGGGCTGAGTCCTTCCCTGACCACCCACCCTCCGTGGGTCCCATCTCCATCTCTCTCTTACCACACCATAGAGGACTTTCTTTACAGAACCTTCCAGAAAGACAAGTATCTTTTTAACAAAATTGTGGTGAGATACACACAACATGAAATTTACCATTTTAGGTACATTAAAGTGTTTATTTCAGTGACAGTACGTTCAAAGTGTCGTGTAGGGGACATCTGGGTGGCTCAGTCCGTAAAGTGTCTGATTCTTTTCTTTTTTTGTCCTAAGATTTTATTTATTTGACAGAAAGAGACACAGTGAGAGAGGGAACACCAGCAGGGGGAGTGAGAGAGGAAGAAGCAGGCTCCCCACTGAGCAGGGAGCCAGATGTGTGGCTTGATCCCAGGATCCTGGGATCATGACCTGAGCCGAAGGCAGAGACACCTAACGACTGAGCCACCCAGGTATCCCAAGGTGTCAGACTCTTGAAGTCCGGTCAGGTCATGATCTCAGGGTCCTGAGACCCAGCCATGCCTCCAGCTTGCACTCAGCGGGAATTTGCTTGAGATTCTCTTCTCCCTCTGCTCCTCCCCTGGCTCCTGTGTGCTCTCTCTCTTTCTCTCAAATAAATAAATAAATAAATAAATAAATAAATAAATAAAGTCTAAAAAAAATGTTGTGCAACCACTACCACCATCTAGTTCCAGAACATTTTCAGCCTGGAAAAGGAACCCTTTACCCAATAAGCACTCACTCCCCATCCCCCGTTCTCCCCCCTTGGCTCTTGACAACAGGGCTGGTCTGCTTTCTCTCTCCATGGATTTGCTGCCTTTTTTTTTTTTTTTATATATATCTATTTGCTTGTTTGTGGTCTGTCTCTTCCATTAGCCTGAAGGTGCCGCGAGGCCAAGAGCATCGCTGGCTTCTGTGCCAGCATCTGGATGTCTGG